TAAGAAAAGGGGTAGATTGGTCGATGTTTTTTTTTTCCGAAATTTTTGCCTAGTCCTTTCAGTTCTAGGGTATCGTTTTTGGGAAGTTTGTTCAGAGATTTTCGGTTTTACCTGTTTCACGAGAGCAGTAGGGCTGAAAAACGAAGCAATCCGGGGGGTCTAACCTGGTATGAACCCAAGGTTCAATCCAGCCCACGCTTCGAAAACGGTAGACGAGTCCCTGGCGACACGGTTGGATCCAGTATTCCAGCGATTTCAGCTCGGAGGGAGCTACACCACAGCAGAGTATCCTGCAGATAGCAGTGCAGCATCACTTTTTGACAGCCTCAGCAGAAAACTGACCCATCTTTTTAAAATGTCAGACGACGAAACGCCAAACATCGCTCACAACGCCAGTGGCAACATCGCAGATAATAGTTGCAGCGGTCACCGCCAGCCAGGCCCAGCAGGAGGGACAGCTAGCCCTGATCTAGAACTAGCAAGCATGCTGAAGCAGCAGCACAAAATGCTCCTAAGCTGTATGCAAGAAATTGGCAATCTAAAGCAAGAGAAGTCCGCAGCAGCGCAGCGAACCCAACTACGAGACAGCGAAGGGACGCAAAATTTTCTAATGGCAGCAACGTGTTCAACACCCCAACAGCAAATACCATTCCAGACAGTAGCGCTTCTTAGCGGCAGGCACCAGCACGATCAGCAGGCAGGCCAACAGCGGACCAGTGATGAAAACGCCAGGAGGCGAAACATAGATCTCAATCGCTGGCACGTTAAATTCGACGGCTCCGGTAAGGGTCTCAAGGTCGAGAGCTTTGTGTTCCGAGCGCAACGGCTCAGACAGCAGCAACAGATAAGCTATGAGGAGTTATTTGCCGAGTTTCACTGTCTAGTGACCGGTCAAGCCAGCAAATGGTATTGGCAGCTGCTGGAAGATCGGGAAGGAGACGTCACGTTCGAATATTTTGCGCTGAAAGCCGAGGTCCTCAATCAATTCAAGACCGCAGATTCGGATTACGAATTGATAAGAGAGATCATGGAGCGAAAGCAGCAGCACGCGGAGAGTTTCGAGGATTACTACGCGGAAATACACGACCTAACATTCCGCTTACGCAGAAAGATCCCTGAATCGGAGATGATAAAAATAATGAAGTCAAATGTTAAGCCCAGTCTGGCGACACTTATCTTTGCCACCAAGGTAGAAAGCGTTGGCGACTTCAAGGCAGAATGTAAAAGGGCAGAAGAACTGTTGAAAGAGAGCAGAAGCAGGCCAAAACATATAAGTGAGATCGGTCAAGAAGGTGAAAGGAGTGACGGAGTTCACCGCGAGGCAGTTGAAGCTCTAGTGCCGCGGCATAGTCAAAGCAGCGACAGGCAACGCGGAATCGACGGGGCTATTAAATACGACAAAAGATGGGTCAACACATGCAACACAAATAAGCATCCGACACGAGCGGCATCATCTGCAACCAACAACGCCACGTGCAGGACAGCCAAAGCAAGAGGCAACAGCAGCAATAGTAACACCACAGCAACATACGGCCACACCAGCACCAGCGATCGCAGTGAGGACAGCGCAGAGCATTGCCTTCTGCCAATCACCGTTCCATCTGACGGTATGCTATGTGTGCGGTATGCCAGGAGCACAACAGCATCATCATCAACAACAACAACAAAAACTACAACAACAACAGCAGTGACAATATTAAAGCGAGCATCAACAGACGCAAAAGCAACACCAACAACGGGTCAAGACATCACCGCGTACAGAAGCTTAGCGACATGAAATATTCAGCGCGGAAATTTATAGAAGACGAGCGCTCACTAGAAAACATAGGAAAATTCTGATCTTACGCCAAAGGAGGAAGGCATACAGGAGGTTTCAACGAAAGGAGATCTCAGCGATTGTTTCCCTAGAGCACGATGACAGGATGTTTGCTCGGACCAAGGTCGACAACACCGAAGTAACCGCTCTTCTGGACACAGGAGCCAGCGTTAACTGTTGTGGGGCAGGAGCAACAAGATTCCTCGAGAATCGAAGACACCGAGTCATTAAGCTGCGGAATCAACACGTCAAAACAGCATACGGAAAGAAGACATCAGTAACGGGACTCATTACTTTACCCGTCGTTTAAAAAATATTAAATCCTCTGAAACATTTCAATTCAATTACAAGATCAAACGAAATAGCAATTAATAACTAATCTTGCAACCGTTTTCATCGTTTTCTTAAGCATGCGACCTTTCTAATTTTGTTATTTCTATGTATTATAGAACGCGTATGTTACTATCGTTGATAACGAATGCTTAAATTGAACAGAGAAATATTTATATGACATTATGTAATTGTAATAAAAAATCTTCGCAACAAATGTATTCCACAAATATTCAAATTTACAGGGTTAGTCTTAGAAAACTATTGTTAACCATTTTTAGGTTCAGGGTCAGTGCCCAGGTATTATATTTCCTGTGTGAGTGTTGTTTCTCATAAGTCTTACCGAACCAACGGTTTACAAGATTAATGACAGATTTTGCACGGCGATCGTGAACTAGTGGTTCTCAGCGCATCCAAATCTACGCTTGAAAAAGATGTAAAAAATCTATTGTTGCTGTGAAAGTAAAACGTTTATCGTCCGGAAGTAATTTATATTTATGTGTTGCAAAACTCCACGTATCCCTTCTTTTTCTAACTCTCTTCTCCACCTCTTTCCAACATAATATATTATATATCTTTATTTAATCCAATTAGCGAACAGATCAGTGACAATTGGTCTACTACTTATAAAGTGCGCTCTTAATTCGCTCTTCACTGCAATCTTACATACATACGCCAAGAAATAATTAGATAAAAATGCTTCAATTACTTATTGTAGCAAATAAGACGATTTTTAAATTAAAAATAAAATTACATACGAATAATATGGTCTTTAAAATTTTCTATATTCAAAAGTTTATCTTAATGAGATGGACACTAAAGAAAAAAATTACCTGGAACTTGCAAGGAGACGTTCCGAAGTAATATTTCGCTATAATAATGTTATAGTTGGTTCCTCTACAATAATAAGATTGGTTTTGATTGTTTGCGGAAGCTGCTAATGAAGATGTACAGCAATAAAGACCTACTGCTCAGCTACGATTGCTGAGAGTTATTACTAAGGAGCCAAACATTTTACAGCAATAACGATGCCGTAGATGAGGCAGGAGTTGCTGCCATTCAGTTTCCATCGCAGAATTATCTCCCATCTGCAAATACAAAATGTTTAAGATAAATTTCTGCACATGTTCAAAAAGTGTTGAGCACCCACCTTAACTTTTCACACGTTCTCTAGCTACGTGCGATTATGAATGATTATTTAAACCAATTTTTTCAATTTAACATAATTTCGACGTGTATTTTCTTTCCGTCTGCTTTCGCAAAAAGTTTATGATATGTTTTACAATATTAATAATTTATTCCATTAGTCTGAAATAAATTGCGAATGGAAGTTGTCTTTGAAGTTGCATGCCAATTAGCCTCGCCAGTAAGTGTCAATATAAACAAGGTTTTATATACACTCATTAGTGCACTGAGCTCAGCTGCCTGCTGCGTTAGGAAAATAACCGCGTATCGTTATGTTGCGAAGAAGAGTCATGTCGAGAAGCCTCTACTTTTGAAAGCATTCATAACGGCGGAAACAACACTGACTAGTTTTTATACTTCATTGCGTTAACGACTTTGTTTAGAAATATAAATGTTTACGAAAAATTTCAATCACTTTTCCCGCAAAATATAAAGTTGGTGGAGCGTCTGACTTTCATACAAGTCGAGAAAAATTTTTAAATATCCAGAGTGAATTTTTTAAGTAAGTGAAACGCAACAGAATTGAAACAACTAAAAGTTAAGTTCGCTGAGCAGAACTCATAGTAGAGTTCACGTTTAATTTTTTTATAAGAATTTCGGTAATATTACGAAATCGTGCGTATGACAATGCTGAGAAGGTGTCACCTGTTCAACAGTCCCTTTTGGCCTATACAACTTACCAGAAAAAACGATATTCGATACTTTTATGGACGTTTGAATAAGGCGTTACAAAGTTTGCGCAACGAAATTTTCATAAATAGGGGCGTTGTCATTCATTCCTATATGAACGAAATGTCTGAAAACATTCTCTTGTTTTCCTTTCTTATTTTATTTTATTTTCACAAGATATTTATAATTTTGCATATTTGGGATTCTATCTACTTTTCGAATAATCTTAAATTGATGCAGAACAAAGAGCTAAACACAACTGCCAGTTTATGGCTCTAATTATGTATGGTGTTAGCTAGGTTTCATTTTTGCATTTCCAAATTTTAGCTATGTATATACACAAGAGGTGCAAGGGACGCTGTGTAAGAATTGTCAAAACCGACGTAAAAAAAATTGATGACGCTTCCTGTTATTATTGGTTATTTATTAAGAGAAAACAGCTGTATATTGAAAATAGACTAAATTGCGGGAAAAATTATTTACTTCCAAACAGTTGAAGTAAAATAAACATTTGAAATTTTCGAAATGTAAATTAGTTCTGCATTATCTTTTTTCTCTGTTGTCTGCTTTATTGTTACTATCAATCTGAAGCCCTTAAGATTTTGTGTTTAAAATTCACAACGTTCGTAAATATATATATATCCAAAATAAACTGATGTACGTAGAAATATAAGTATACAAGTAAATAAAGGATGCAGTGCCTTCCTTACAGATTCTTTATAGGCACAATCGTATGTTGATGTAGTAATATATACATTGTGTAGAATTTTGCGTGGATGCAGATTTTTGCAAAAATATAAATGAGTGCTTTACTCTTGTATTTTCCGCTAGAAATGAAAGTTTACTCTTTACTTTTACATATTTATATAAACAAATTTATGATGTCTATTATAACAATTTTTATAGCATTTTCATAATGATTTTTCGAAGGCAGTTTCGCTAGCATAGTTTGCTGATAACCTTACTCCGTTCGTCACAGCTTGACAGTTCGGAGTTAATAAAAATGAAGCATATGCGAGCAATGAATTTTCATTTTTAAACAAAAATAATAACAGTTTCGTTGTGCTTCTTTGAAACTGAGGCTGGTTAAGCAATGGCTGTTACTGATGCTTGATACAGCGTTATGATAACCAAGCTCCTTTTGTCCAAATTGAATCATATTGATGTGAGCTACATGTGGTTTTAACAAACAGTTTCACATGCCATAACTCCCGTGAAATCATTCAATTACTGAATGAGACATTCCCTGGTTGTGTATTTTCATGTTTCGGGGATCATAATTTCGATAAAAGAGCTAGCAAAGCTGTAAAAGCCATTTGCCCGATATGCTATTCCACACATTACTCTATTCTATATACATTATGGTTTATTAAAAAAGTTACATTTAAAAAATAATTGGCTTTCTATTGAATTCAAATCGTCCCTAAAATTTGAGATACTCTAAATAATGTGTTTTGTTTTGTATAATGGATTAGTCGTTATTGTTAGGAACTCCATTTGCAGAATATTGAACTGGTTGGCATCCCTGTTTTAAACATTTAATTGAAAATGTACGCTGACAATATTTTCGGATATTTTCTTAGAACAGCCACTTATTTTTACTTTAAAATAAATATATAAACACAAGTTTTTTGTACAATCTCAAATTTTAATAGCAATCAGCAAATATCGCTTCATTCTCTTGTCGAATAACAACAAGGATATCGTCCAGTAGTGATGAAAAACTTTCCATTTCTGTAAACCAATTTTGATGGCTCTTTATCATCTGATTTAAGTCCATTTGTTTGATAGAATCGATGAACTGTTTAGGACCTATGTCTGTATAGTTCTTATACAGATGTTCATCTATTGACGAGTGTGGTATGTTAGGAAGATCGCCATTCTTCAATTGCAATTGCTTTTCATAAGAAGCAGCCAATAGATTAATATCCTGAGAAAATAAAATTGCCTCAATTATTTCCTCTGATTGTTGGTTATTAAGAACACTTGTTTCAATATCCAAAGTAAGTGGTGGGATTGATTCACTTACAACTGCAGACTTGTATTCATTTGAGTTTTGTTGACCGTTTTTATCCATATCATCTATTATAGATTCATAGTCGTAATTTTTTAATTGCTCAAATAAGCGATGGACCATATTTATGGCTGCTTTTAATACTTCCTTCTCATATTCTTCCTTTAAGCATTTTAAAATCACACCCAAACAACCACGCTGTGAAAGCTCTTGAAATACTTTCATTATTCTTAGATTGATTTCTTTCTCATTTAAAGTGACAATTTTCTTGTTATCTTTAGAAAAAGTAACAGTTGGGAAAGTGCCATCAATCATACCTTGATTAGTGAATTGTTCTTGAAATTCCAATTCCCAGAAATGTAAAGCTTCTACCTTTACTTCCCAATCCAAATCGCTTAATATACAATAACAAATAACTGAGTACAAAGGATTTAAATATTTGGATGGAACCTTGTGGTGTTCATATAAAACAGTCAATACTTTAACAGATTCCTTGCGCACTAAACCTTCACTTTCGTTCGATAAAATAAAGAATAAATAATCCTATGGATTAAATTAGTTAGTTGAAAAAATTATGTCTTACATAAATCAAAACTTACTATTAATTCGTGGCCATTTAAATTATTCTCCCATATTACGTTAATCACAACCATCTTGGACAAGCATTTTAAAGCCGAAGCTCTGACATACGTTTCACTATCGTTGCGGAGCATATCAGAGACTATCGAGCACAATTTAAAGTCATGTAAAAACTGTTGAAAGGCCGGGAATTCTGAGAAGAAGATGAAAGAGGTTATTCAAACTTTTTAAAAATAAGGAGAAGAATCACTTACTGCATCTTGATATATCTGCAATCGATGTAGTTAGTTCCAAGGCACTATCTCTTACTTCCCAAGACAAATCGTGCAAACGTTTCACTATTATAGGCCCCAGACATAATAAACCGGATCCCTGTAGATTATCGAGCAACAAAGCCATATTTGGTGAGAGGAAATATTCTATAGACAATTGTATCAATTTCAAAGCTTGTACAGCTAACTATTGGGAAAAATGCTTTGAATGAATAAAAGCAAATGAAGGATTATTCTAATTTAATTCAGCTTTCCCTTACATTATCCGTAAGATTGGGATTTTCCAAAACAGAAGCCACTATATTCACAATACATGTCGTATCGATGGATTCGTTCCAATTAATGCGATATCTTTTTATAAGAGTTTGTAAGCCGATTAGAGTCGCATAGAGGACATGTGGAATGGCTATTCCGTATTCCGTGCTCAACCACAATTTTAAACATACACCCATTTCACCCGATTGTATCGCTTGTGAATTATCGACAAATTCTTTTAAAGCATAAATCATAGCCTGAAATACTAATACAGCTTGCTCACGTTCCAACATATTTTCCATACATAATATACCATGTATGGATTTATAAGCCATATCAGCTACCATGCTCAAAGATGATTCCCCAGATGTGTAGATAAGATCTCGAAAGGCATAGCATATACGTAAGGTATGCTCACAATTAACTTTGAATAGCCGTATCAAATAATCTTCAAATAATTCCGCGTCGTAGAATAAACGCTTACGCAATATGAATAGCAACGGCATTAAATAAAATGTTATTAACAGATTTTCGAAACGTACTCGCTCATGTTCGATTTGTATTTCTGTCGGAGCCCTGGAAGCCAACTTTTTCCACAGCTTGTGATTTACTTCAACCAATTTAACGAAATTTAATAATTTTTGCCGGGATATACAGAATTTCATGCCATTTAGAAAGTTGACTCCAAAACGTGAAAACTTTTCCGATTCTATACAACCGCGACCAGGCTGCCATTGATCCTGCACTAACATGGCAAAATTATAGCTGGTTACAGTGTGTAAAATCTTTTGAAGAAAACCGGGATCCTGAGTCATTTCCACCAATTTCCAAACGGCTAATTCTATATTATGATGCCTTTGGCATAGACGAGCCAAATTAGTTTTCTCTTCCATTTCCAGCGTTTGTTCGAAGATGTAGGACAATAAATCTAATGTGGATGAGACTTTATGTTGTGTCTCCGAATCATCAACATTAATCATAATACGATCCGAGCCTTCTTGATAAACATTATCATGCAGCGGCTTAATAATTTCATCTAACATCTCTAAGACAACATTTTCATCTTTTGCCTTAACCAAGAACTTGTAAAGCAATTCACATAAAAGTTTTCGCGCATCACGTACCACGTAAAGAGTGTGATCACAATTGCAAAGTTTAATCAAATAAAGCCAAGATTTCTGCAAACGTATGTACGCAAAGCCCAAGCTTATATGGGATATAGAGGTTAAAATCCGTATATAACCTAATTTAATGGAAGGAGTGAAGCGTTCGTTATGCATGGCAAGTAAGGCGAATAACCTAAAAGGTAGTTTGTAATCCTTATTATAACAATGTTTTTCGTCTAATTGCTTAAAAAAATAGATTCGTATATGAAAAAATTATTAAACAATCGCTCCCCCTCGCTCCTTTTTTGTGTAAAAAATTGTAGTGGAATTATTTTTTCAATATAGAAAAGTTTATAGATATGAGCTGTAAGGAGTCTATATGTTCTCCCATTTGTCTGTTGAAGATTTAATTTGGCCAAATTTTGTCTTGCTACCATATACTGCCCAGCAACGGGTAACGATCGAATGACTAAAGAACCACAGACAGCTATCTCGGCTAGAAACATATTTGGAAAATAAAAACTATCCACGTTTTTTGCTAATTTCACATATTTAGCAATTAAAGACTTTTCATATTGCAGCTCGTTAACAACTAACATCACTTAAATGCGTTAGAATTGTTCCCAGTAACATAGTCTGGGAATTATGACTGATGGAGATTTTCGCTTTGGGAGCTTGTTCTAGAAAACAGCTCAATGCGCTTAAAGCAGCATCTACAACAATTTCAATATGCTCCTTGCCATGAACGTAAAACCAGCAGACATTCTTATGCTTAGATTTTCTTTCAAAAATACTCGGATATCTTCTTACCTATCAGTTACTCTTTTCTCTCTCATCGTTATAATAAGCCATTCATTTTGTAACATTATACTACAAATGTTTAACATAAAGGCTATCACTTTAGGATGAACATTTTCATAATCATCCTCCAGTAACACGAGGCATTTATCCACCCATTCTGAGACAAAAGAATGTTGTAATATACAATAATTTTCTGGAAATGCAAAATGTTATTAATCCCAGGATATAAGCATATTTCCATAAAATGAACTTGCCTTTATCCGACAATTTGGTTATAAGCTTTTCGAAGTAAACATTGCTGTTATTGCTGGAAAACTCCTTGTGTAAAAATTTCTCGAAAATCTCTTGTAAACGTTCTATTGTTTGTTGTTGTGGTATTAAATCCATTGTGATTAATAAAAAAAATAAAACAACATCGAATTTAATAAATATTCAATATTTGCGCAAAAATAATTTCAATTATCAGCAATTGTAATATGCGGTGTAAATTAGTGCATGTGTGTGTGACAAAATTTTTCCAGATGTGAATTTGCTGAACAACTCTGTGTTTGTTAAAGTATGCAATATTATTTCACCAAGCTGAAAAGTATATTAATGTGTTATTATTGTTGCATGCAGTCTTGTGGCAAAAAAGTACAAATAAGAAAAGAATTGAAACAAATAAAAAGTTTCATTATAGAGTTTAAGTCTTCCATAAGAGTTTTGGAGACTTCATAGAGCTATATATGTTGTCCATTATTCATCACCAGTTTTAGGTCTGTTCAATTAATAGCAATTTCACGTGAGGATAATTAAAAAAAGGTTCAACGAGAAAAACCGGAGGAGAGTACATAAATAATATTTTCCAGATTATTGGCCACTTTATGTTCATTGATCGATAAAAGATAATTTGAAAGGAAAATATAATAATTCTAATAAAAAATTATAAAAATATATAGGGTCTAGGTCAATTTGGTATTATGAACTAATTTTCATCATGAAATAATAACAACAGGTATATTACTACATAAAAACGCAATTTTCGTAGGAACTGTTATATGAGAGAGAATGCATAAAATTGCGTCAGCCGATCCAAATTTCTCATACCAATTTAGAATGCTCCAACAGAAATTTTAAAAATTGCAATTTTGTCCATATACCGACAACTCAAAATAAGGTGTTATGTGGAGAGTGGTCAAAAAAGTGGACCGTTCCGAACAGTTTTCAATAGCTTTCGTTTTTGGATCAAAGCACGTCAGCGTATTAAATTTCATTAAAATTTACATGCACAGATATCAAACGGAGAGATAGGCTTAGATTCAGACTAATTTTCCGAATCGATTGGTATAATAAAGGGTGTGTTTATCTTAAGCTTTTCTGGACAAACTCGGCACACCCTACATCACAGGGTATAAGGTGTTATAGAGTAAGAATATAAAAACTTAACATACATGTGAGATCAAGCCAAACTTGTGTCTTTGGTCTTCAAAATGGATAAGCGTTGATTAATTTCAGAATTAAAATTTTCACAAAGTTTAACTATTTACATTAGACGAAGGCTGCGAATCGTTGAGTAATAGTGACCAATTAGATGAAAAGCGCGTTACTCAATTTTGACGATAAATATGATGAAACCGAGAAATCGATAGTGGTAGATTGAAAATTTTATCATAAAATATTTGTCTAACTTACCTGAGAATTGCTGACGATTTCGCCATGATAAAATAAAAAACAAATGATAAAAGCCATTTAAAATTCTCATAAAGATGTATTTCAGTTTTAATATTCAGTCTTATAATTTAAAATAAGTGTGACATAAGGGGCGACTCATCAACGTTGAGTTGTTGATTTACAATATGCAAAGCTATGCTTGTTAAAAGAAAACTTCTTAGAACTAAAAATAGCACACAAATTACATAACGGCTTTTGTACGGTAGTATGGCAACGTCTTGTGTGCCTTAAGTATTTCGTGCATAATATTTTATTTAATAAGTTTTTTTATTAAAGAAAATAAAAAATGACTGTTGTTGTTTGTTAATCTTATACCA